TTTCAATTTTTAGATATAAATTAAAATTTTAATTATTTTTAAAAATTAAGATTAATACGTACTAATATCATGAATTATAACTCTTAAAATTAAAATTTATTGTTTTATAATAAACAAATTCCTATTAAATTTCCATCAAAAGGATTTTCTATTAAATATATTGAATAAATTACATTTGAATACAATTTTATTAATTATTTATTAGGGAAATAATGATGTAAGCTCTATGCAAGAAAAGGTTATCCATTAGGTTAAATGCTAATTTTGGTCCCCCAATTATTTTTTGCATTTTTTGATCCCCTAATTCTAAAAAGTAAAAACTGCACAATTTTAATCCTTCCGTCAGTTAAGTGGCACTTGGCAGTTAAATATTCTAGAATGACACTTTTTAATGACGTGGCAATGACAACTCATACAATTAGCTTAGGCGGAGTATGCCAAGTTAGACTTAATCGTTCTTCTTAATTTTTTTCAATTCTTTAAATATAAAATTACTAAAATGCTCTTAATTTATTCTTCTTGCCATTGTTCTCCTCTGTGCTCTTTCTGTTCTCCTTCCCACCGCCATCGTTTCCGGCCATTTTTTCTTTGGTTGTCATTGTTTCTCTTCTCCCCTCCCCTCATCCCCTTGTTGGCCATGACTAGGTTCATCATGAACTCAGAAGGGTTTGTCATGAGCCCAAATGATTTGGGTTTGCCTCTTTCATCATCTTTCGTTCAGTACTCCACAATTAAAAGCAACATAAAATTTCAGAAGAAATGCCACTATTTCCTCCATAAATCTACTATACCTTATTTCTATCTTTTGTGAAAAGCATGTGTGAATCACCATGAATGAAAGAGTTAGCATACATCTTCCTGCAGAAACAAGGAATTAATAATGAACATTGTGGTGAATCTGAAGGTTTGAAAAGTGGTAAGAAAACAAACCTAAATGAATTTGCCAGTAAGAGGAGATGTGCTAGGAGCAACATAGCTCTCAAATTCTCAAGCTACATATTGTTGTACTCCTTCAACTAATGTAGATGAAGACAACTTGGAAAATAATAAAATTTGACCAATCACATGACACAGTTTAGGGTTTGTGAAGAAATTATGAAGTTCCAAACATCAAGATGAGAAATCATGTTTACCTGAGATATTGTCCTGCTTCAAACTGGACTCTAACATAAATATATTCAAAAATTTTTACATTATCTATGGCAAGAAAGAAATGAATCTTTAACATGAAAGAACTATAAACCTAATTGATAGTCTACAAACATTCTCTTAGAAATTTTTAGACAGAAAGGTATCCCCCATTCAAAAAAGTAATTTTCTTTTTTCATTTCATAAAAGGTAACTGGAATAAGAAGGCATTTCAAACCAAGTTCACGACAAACCCAGAAGAGATCTGGGTTCACACCGAACCCAAAGTGGATTTGGGTTCACGACGAACCCAGATCGCCTCTGGGCTCCTCATGAACCCAGTCATAGCCAAGAAGGGGATGGGGGGAAAGGGGGAGGGAAAATGGCTGGAAATGGTGGCAGTGATAAGGTGAACAGAGAGAGCACAGAGGAGAACCATGGCAAGAAGAACAAATTAAAGGCATTTTAATAATTTAATATTTAAAGAATTGTAAAAAATTAAAAAGAACAATTAAGTCTGACTTGACATACTCCACCTAAGCTAATTGTATGAGTTGTCATTGCCACATCATTAAAAGGTGCCATTCTGGAATATTTAACTGTCATGTGTCACTTAACTAACAAAATGATTAAAATTGTGCAGTTTTTAGAGTTAGGGGATCAAAAAAGTATAAAAAATTGTTGAGAGACCAAAAATATACATTTTGTAAAGTTGAGGCACTAAATTTAGCATTTAACCTATCCATTATGAATGGAGAGGGGTCAAGACTAAAGAGGTAACATCAGGTTTTATTTCAAAACAATAATTCTATTACTTTATTGAGGTTAAAAAGAGAGAGAGAGAAATTGTGATCATTAAGGAGTGCCACGACAAAACAAGGACGATATTTATTCTGTCACTAACACCGACAGCATAATCAGAGACACAAATCATACATACAGAAACAGGAAATAGTCTGATAGATTCGAAATTTCTCCCAAATACATATCCAAAAGTCCAAATTAACGCCCAAAGCATTCATTAATAACTCACTAATCACATTACTTCATGATTAAACATG